ACCACTAACAGTCCACACAATCACTAAGTAGTCCTTAGGCACAACAATATAGCCCTTAGGTGACTAATTAATAAATTTCATATCAACGTGGAGCAGCTGCTTGCTGCGGCTGCATTATGCTTAGCGGCAGTTGCATTATTAAGCGCCAATTTGTATTGCTGCAGACGGAGGCGAAAATGCAATTCGCTTGAGCAGCAGTGCTGTTGCCGAGATGTTCAGTCAATACATATTGCCATGCCGCAAATGCACTTATGCTAATTGATGCTGCCTCCTCACCTAATGTTTCAAATGGCTATGATTTGTTTGCAGGGCATATGAATTGGCCCTTATGTGATTTTGGATTGGAGTGTGAATGCGCTCAGAATCTTATGCATATTGCAGTGCTTTCAATCACGAATTACGTTTGCAGCCTTGTAGCTGTCGAAATGGTAAAGTACGATTAGTTTTGCCTGCTCGAGTATATTTGTAGTCAATAATTTTCTTTGCTACATAGATGAATATCCAGAAGAAGTTAGATCTCAATCTCAAGAAATATTAAAATGAATATGTTTTTTAGTGCATTAAAGTAACTGCCCTTTGCTGTTTGGATATATTAGCAAACTGTTTGACACTACTATTTTCCATAGTGCATGTGGGTGCAGATGTGTAGTCCGACACGCCGGACAAAGTGTGTGTTTACGGCTACTGCAGATAACGAAATTATAAAACGGTTTTCATATTTAATTAATCCATTTAAATGCAAGCATTTTAATTGCTGTAAATTATTCAATTTCCTGTAAAAATGTTAAATAAAAAATATATAAACCCAATGAGTCCTTTTTATGCGTGTGGTATTGAAAACGTACACTTTCATAATTTCGATATTAAAATAAAGCTTATATTTGTATTAAAAATAAAGAATGCCCCTATAAATATTTACACATATGTATGTTTATACATCCATGTATTACTACATGCATAAATGCATTAGGGTTGAACGAATTATTATTTTTTTCATCAAAGACAAGGAACTCGCGATAACCGCGGTAAAAAAATTAATTTAAATAAAAAATTAAGTAAAATGTTCTTTTTTGTGGTCCCCCCTCGGCGGGGAATGTCAACTCCTCCGAGTAAATTTCTGACATGAATTCAAGGCTCCTCTTAAAAAACTCATCAGCCGTTCGGAGGCGGCTTGGTATAAACTGTAGGTGAGCAGTTGTGGTGATTAAATTTATTTAACGATGTAAAATAGGCAGAGACAGACAATGGATCTTTCTTTAACATTAGCGTTATAATAATAAAAATCATTCAAACTATATAAATCATCGGAATTAAAATGGAATTTTCCAGCTGGATTACAATTGGCGCTTACCTGCGCAAAAGGTAAATATATTCCCCAAGGCTAAAGTGATAAGGAAGCAAATCCTGCAAAGTCCCAATAACTGCCGGCCTATTATCCAGTCCACGTTTCTTCTACAAATATTTCAAAGGCTGCTCGTGTGGGCGCTAATATGCCTAGCCTAGATGAAAGTCCGTCGACACTATACTTCAGGACATATTAAGGAAGCCTTCAACAACAAGATTCTGCCCGAGGCCATAAAAAAAGCTATTCAAGAAATGGTTCAACAAGATCATTTTCACTGAGATTGGAAATAACGGTTTTATCACATACACCACAAGGGGTAGCCCTCACGCTATGTATGCTGAATCCAGGGAAAACCAAAATGGTTTTTTTTTCATAAAGAGACATAAGTCCCTTCCCAATTAAAAGGCGTAGAAATCACTATATCTCAGGAAGTGAAATATCTGCGAGTAATTTTAGATAGCATACCCAACTGTAGTGCAAATACGCCGGAAAGGTCGAGGAAGGCTATCACAGCTCCCTATGCATGCAAAGCGGCAATTAACAATATATTGAGTATAAAACAGTTTACTGCTCATCGGCTTATTCAACGAAAGTCAGAGTCATTTTATTCTATGCAGCCAGTGGCCTATAGTGATTAAGTACAAGTCTTAATGACAAGCTGAGATTATTTAGCCATACTGTCTACCTCTTTGTTCGCAAACGCGAACATATTTCTGCTAAATTTACAAAAAAATAAACGATTATTTTTAGAATTTGGCCAGATCGAATTACTATACCCATTCAACCAATTTGTTCTGGTATATGATTTTAGGTCACAAAACCTTCAATAGAACATCTAAGAATATGAAATACATATAATGAATTCAAAGTCCGTCTATTAGACATCTCAGCGCTGTTATCAACAAATAAACGTTGACATCGTCGCATCATCGAAATCGGAAGACTGATCATATAGTGTCCCTGTAACCCATGGTAAGGAACATCGGGCATGGAGTACGCACGGCTTGCCACTTGGCTCCTACAGCCGACAATTAAGTAATGATTATTATAAATAAATTCATAGGTAAAATTAAGTATAGTTGATATTCCATTTTTTAAAGCAAAGTGTCTCTTTTTACCTTTCTGCGACTTTAATCAGCTTACGGCAAAATTATATTAAATCTATTTTCTAGAGATAAGATTTATTAATTTTGATTATTCCAAGAAATTTGATTCCTCTGGTTTGGTTCGCCTTAATGTTTTTAATCATTGATTTAATCAGTTAATTAACCCATGTAAGCTTTTTGGGTATTTAAATAACCAAAAATGTCCATAATAAAAGCGTACAGTTTGCAAAAACTATGTATGGCTTTTAATAGAAAAATTAAAAAAAAAACTAATTTAGATGATTACAAACGGTTACACAAGAAAAGTTAACTAAATAACATAATGGAATTATGCCAGAAAACTCGTTCACCTGATATCGTTTTATGAAAATGGGTCTTAAAGTACCATCAAATTACTTGGTAACTTCTTGAGCTCTGGTTCAATGTATAGTTGAAGGAATTAATACATTTATAGGCAATTTTTTTGGTATTTAAACTTTGAAGGCTTACATTGAATTTGTTAAAAAATTTAATCCATAACTTACGCTCCAACTTAGGCACCACCTTCAGTGGGTTAAAGGGTAAAAATATATATGTTTACGAACTTAACCACTAGACATTGCCGGTTAAATTACTCAATTAAAGCACGCAAGACTACAATGCATAGCAATTTAATTCTTTGTTAGTAATAATTGAATTAAATTAATTGGTTTACTCTCTCATTATATTCATTTTATGGTATGCTGATTTTATGTGGGTAAAAATATCGAAAAATAAAAAATCTCTGCTGTATTTTCATACATACGTGTAAGTGAATATTCTTTTATGCACATACATATATATACACCTACATGCAAGTTTAAAACAATAGTGCTTATTATATTGCGTATGTGTTTAAATATGTTATGACATACCGTAACAAGGTGTACATTTGAAGTGTTAATAAGTCAGCTTGTTATATATTTCGCTATAAAAATGTAAACATATTTACTTATATACATATTTATTCGCTACTTTTCATGCCATTTTTAACGCCTGAGGTATTCAGGATAATAACTAATAAAAAACATCAACAACAATATTTTGCATATCTTGGGGAAGGTTTTATGGAATGATCTCAGTCTTTTAGTCAAATAATTTAGATCCAGTCATTGTCATTTAAATTTTATACTTAGTCAAAAATGACCGTTACCAAGTAAAAATGACCGATAAACATTAGGGTGTTATTTAAGAGCGAAGGCGATCATTTGTAAAATAAGTACAGCCTGTATAGTGACAAAAAGTCTTAGTTATTGTACGATAATTTACAAAAAATAAAGCGGAGAAATAGGAGGAGAAAAAGGATAGAGTTTCGGTAAGTATTGGATGAGTGCATAAGTTCGTGCCCGATTCCGCTGGATGCCGTTCGAATCGTTTGAGAGTGGCGCTCGTGAAAGAAATATATACATATTATATATCGTTGGAAAGGTGACAGTCCGAACTGTAAATCAAGCATAAAATAATAAAAAACTCATTTGCGTCCTATTATGTTATACGAATTCCGCAAAGGAAAAACAGTAGGCGCTGCAACTAAAGATATTCGGGAAGTTTATTTGGACCGTGCTCCAGCACTCCGCACAGTCAAAAACCACCTTGACACCTTTTTCAACGAGAAACCGCGCGATTTCTATGAATCAGGCATCCGTAAATTGGTTGAACGTTGGGAGTGGATTACCCAACATGACGGCGAATACATAATTCATAAATAAAAGCGCTTTCTTCAAAAAATTTCAATTTTATTTTGCACTTGAAATCGGGCACGAACTTATGCACTCATCAAATTTTTTTTTAGGGGAGTGTATAGAATTAGTAAACTGCGGTAAGAATAATAAAAAGTAGGTAGTAAGGTAAAGTAAGTATAAATTGATCATTTATTTTAATATAAATTTAAACTTAAAATATTTTATAGAAGTGATTTATTTTTATAATTATTTTATGAATTAGGATTAAAGTCTTCAACAATCAAATTTGGTGACAATTATATAAATAACCAGTGAAAAAAAATTTGGTTTAATTTCGAAAATCCATACAATGCGCCACGTATTGTACTATGCAGTTAAATGTTTGAAGTAAAGTCACCAAAGGTGCTCGAAATGGAATGCTCAATACATAGTATGTATATAAGTACGAATTTTTAGCGGAAAAGTTAGCATTGTTTACTTATATTTGGATGGTCATGGTTTTATATACAAAACTATGGAAAATAAACTTTTCCAATTGCGGTCGGCCCACGGTAGAGAATGACACACATGAATTTATCAGAGAAAATAAAAAGCTACTCATAAAGACCCATCAGGCGTTTGGAAGCGGCTTAGGGCAAATTGTTACATTGTGCTAATTTGTATGAGTTAAATTAATAAAAATATGTTTCATCAAGAGAAATTAAAACTCAAACACGAATCCAATTACGAAATATATCTTTGAAATATAAATCAGTTACAAACAAATAAATATCTTCTCTGTTAGTATATTTTTTCATATATATTTCGTAAAAGAATAATACTAATACAAAAATATTTTGCACATATACCGTGCCTCACAAAATATACGCACATATATTTTGAATAGGAATTCAGGTAAATCTACATAAAAGTTCGTATTTTTAATTTTTAATCTCGGTTCACAACATATTTCAGCTTGAAAATAGAAACAAATTGGGAATATGACAGAAGAAGTCGCACCAGGTGAAGCCAAATCTTCAAAAATCAATCCGTCATCAGATACTGATGCGAACGTGCCCTACTCGCAACGCGAATTTGAGTTGCTGTACAAGGAGATTTGTTTGGATCGAAAGAAAAAGGAAGATTGGCGCGACGACAGTCGTCATCCGAGTTATACGAATTTCGTTGTGCCTTAGTAAGTGAAAAAATATGGAATAAACAATTATATCACATATATTAATATAAATAAAGATAAAATAAAAGGAAGTAAAACATCAAAAGAATAAAATAAAATAAAAACATATTGATTATATAATTTTCAAATAACATAAAAAAGAAATAAATAAAATAAATAAAACACGATACAATAAAACAGAATAAACCTAAATTAAGAAAAAATAAAATAAAAAACATAAATTGAAAGAAAATGAATTACAATGAAAAAAAAACAAAATAAAATAGAGTAAAACAAAATAAACTAAAAAAAAAAATTATATTAAATTAAAATAAAATAATATAAATTAAAATTAAATAAAATAAAAAAAATAAAATAAAAAAGAAAATTAAAATGAAATTAAATACAATAATTTAAGGTAAAACAAACTAAATTTAATTTTAATAAAATAGAATGAAATGAAACAAAATAAAATAAAATTGTATGAAACAAAGTATAATAAAATGAATTAAAATTAAATTAAATAAAAAAAAAAATAAAAATCAAATACAACAAACTAAAAGATATAAAATAAAGTAAAGAAAAATAAATTAAATAAAAATAAAATACTATAATACAAATTAAAATTAAATAAGTTATTTAAAAAAAATTTATATTGCGTAATAAAATAAAAGTATGAAGTAAAATAAAATGCGATGAAATGAATTGAAATAAATAAATTAGTTATATAAACCACTGATACTTGATACGTTTTATACTGCATGCAACATATTTACTATCAACAGTCATTTCAAGTGTCGTGATCGTTATCACAACACCAAAAAGGAGTATGAAGAACAATTCCAACATGAAATCAATCAATTAATGAATAATTTGAATACTGCTTACGAAGTGGCACGATTTAATCGGTAATTAAAACACTATAAGTATTAAATGCATTTATTTCAAAACTTTGTTGCAATAATTATAGCCATCTGTGTATTACGTCCCTTTGGCCACCGTTGCACAATCGTGCCGAACTTCTTCACACTCAGCGATATTATTTCCGTTTAAAGCCAAAAGAGCATCAACGCTTGAATCAGATTTTCAATACGAAAATTCACTAAACCGTAATGGGCTTTCAGTTAAGAACATATTAAATCACATAAGTGATTTTCATGTAATAATGTAACATACAAAAATTAATAAAAAATCTTTTAATTACCCGCTTGTACTTTTCATTGGCATATTTTATTTTACTTAATAAAGCTGCTCCAATATGGTGAAGACCCATACATTTACATTTGAAAAAATGCCCACAGGACCGATTTACGAACAATTTTGGACAGAAACTTTTAGCGATACGAGAAAATTCCCGTCGGTTTCTATGTACGCAAAAGGACTAATGGGACACAAAATCCATTACTTATCAGTATTAAGTGACAGTGGTTAAATAGCTGAGCCTAGTGACATCAAGCTAATATAAGCCCAATAAGGGTACGTCTGAATATTAGAATAACTTCTTATATATGCAGTATAAACAATCAATAATAAGCAATTATAAAATAATTTCTTCTTGGAATTTTCGAAACGAAAAATCTTTGCTGTGACACTACTACTATATCTTAAATCAAAAGAAGTTTAGTATTTTCACCACTTCCGCCCCTGCTGTCGGTTCGAAGTATTACTTTTGAGCATACGTTTGGTTGCAAGTGAACTGGTATTCAACTAGTATAAAGTGGACAATTGACATTTAAATGACATTGCCATGTTAAAAGTACCAATGGCGAACTTAAGAAATTAATGGAAAATAAAATGGCTTAACTTTTCTAAATAAAAGTGTTCTTAGATTTATTCTCTGCAGGGTATCTAAAGTTTGCATGCTTGTTCATATTTACACGGTTTGTCAATTTATTTAAAAAAAATTACTTAAAAATATTTTGTAACACATTTAGTTTTCTTTAAACGCCAAACCATTGTCAAGATTTTTGAAATAAATACATAATACTTTTTAAGAGAAATATTCAGCGAAATGCTATCAACCTTATTCAACTCATTTGCGCATTTATTCTGTTCGCCTGTCAGTTCGGTAAAATGTGAAGCAAATAATCAAAGACATCCGGACATAATATCTTCGCATATACCGTTTCTACCATATCGGCAACTGATGGCTGCTGCCGTAGCGCCCGGTGAGGAGTCATGTGAATTCGGCAGTGTAAAGTATTTCCAATTGTGCATGATCGGCGGCCTTATCTCTTGCGGTAGTACCCACACCTTTGTCACGCCACTGGATTTGGTTAAATGCCGCTTGCAAGTCAACAAAGCTAAGTACAAGAATTTGGTACATGGCCTCAAGCTAACCATCAAGGAGGAGGGTGTGCGTGGCTTGGCAAGAGGCTGGGCACCCACACTGATCGGCTACTCAGCACAAGGTACCTTCAAGTTTGGTTTATACGAATTGTTTAAAGTGTACTACGCCAAGATATTGGGGGAAGAAAATGCTTACTTCTATCGCACCTACATTTATTTGGCTGCTTCAGCGTCAGCTGAATTTTTCGCCGACATTGCTTTATGCCCCATGGAAGCGGTCAAGATAAAAATGCAAACTACTCAGGGTTTCGCCAATACCATGCGTGAAGCAATACCTAAAATGGTTGCCGAAGAGGGTGCAACGGCTTTCTACAAAGGACTCGTACCACTATGGATGCGTCAGATACCGTATACAATGATGAAGTTTGCCTGTTTCGAATTAACTCTTGAATTGCTTTATAAATATGTTGTACCGAAACCGCGTGCCGAATGTACTAAGGGTGAACAATTGGTGGTGACCTTTGCTGCAGGCTACATTGCCGGTGTTTTCTGCGCTGTAGTTTCACATCCCGCCGATGTGGTCGTTTCCAAACTCAATCAAGCGAAAGGTGCATCAGCTTTGGAGGTGGCGAAATCGTTGGGATTTATGGGTATGTGGGGTGGGTTGGTGCCACGAATTATTATGATCGGTACGTTGACAGCACTGCAGTGGTTTATTTATGATGGCGTCAAGGTGGCTTTGCGTTTACCAAGGCCACCACCCCCGGAAATGCCTGCATCACTGAAGGCCAGAATGGGAGGTAGCGAAAGGAAGTGAATATCTTAGCAACCATTTTGAATATTCGTTTGGCGACCTGAATGAGTTGTTGAAGTCCTGCAAAGCACTTGGACGTTTACTTGCATGTGAAGGCCACTTAATTAATTTTTTGAATCTAACTCTTAGAAGTGTACATATGTATATATGTATGAAATTTTAAAATTTTTGTTAACATAAATATTAAATAAAGTTTTTGTCTTATCCTTAGCTATGTCTTTCTAACATATCCTTTCGACGATTTTGTATTTTTACGCGTCTTTACGAGCATTTCAATATAAGGAAAACGTATGAAACGTTTCTGTATGGAATACTGATGATTTATTTAGTTTGAAATTAAAATGAATAAAATAAAATTTTATAAAAATATGCTGATTTGGCCTGTAGGCCTCGCCCTAAAATATTATAACCATTCTCTAAGAGTGGCAACAAAAGGTAAAATGACAATGCACTGCGGGCCAATTACAATAGTTTCTCAACCCTCACAACATATCTACGTCAAGATATTTTGACCGCGCTTCTAATATTGTCTAGCGCCAGCTTACGCAGCCGTATAAGTTTTGCAGGGATACAAAATTCAGACAGAGTTACGTAAGAGTAGCTCCTTTTCTTGCTGTCGAACGCGGCTTTAAAATAGACGAAGAGGTGGTGTGTGTAGATCCTCTTTTCACGGGACTTTTCCAATATGTGGCGCAGGGTGAATATCTGGTCAAAGGTTGACTTAGCAGGTACACTGATAAGGTCGAATCAATTTGTTGACGGTGGGCTTCAGTCTTTCACACACTATAGGATCGCCCTTTTTGTGTATTGGACAGATTATACTTAGGTTACATTTTCTCAGCACTTCACCGCTATGCTTAAATAGTTCTGCCTGTAGGCTGTCAGCCCCAGCCGCTTTGTTGTTTTTTAAGCGGGCGATCGCTATTCGAGCTTCTTCATGGTCAGGTAGCGGAACGTATTTTCCCTCGTCATCAATTGGGATTTCGGGTTCACCATATTCGGGAGTTCAATTTTCACTGCCATTCAGCAGGCTGAAGAAGTGTTCCCACCATAAATTCAATATAATAAGGGCATCCGTCACTAGATCGCCCCTCTGGATTCTATAAGAGAAATAAATTCAAATAAATTAATAAATATATATTTAAGAAGGAAGATACCTCTGCCAATGTACTTTACTAGCAGAATCAATTAAGACACCACAAACTTGATAATAAAAAAATGCTTTTGAAAGCGAAAAAAATCAAAACCAATTTCAATTTAGCCTGAAATGATGCCATAAAATAATGCCTTGATTGCAAGCTTCCAGGCATAACTCGGTGCCATTGCAATGTTTTGATATGTGACGAAGTGCTGCAAAGAATGAAAGACAGCTTAGAGCAGCCCACACATGTACTTCATGGATATGTATGAAAGTGCTGCACTCAAGTGAGCATTTAGTGGCCTGTGCACTTCACGGACTTAAAATTGGATTCTGGACAAAAGCTAATATGTACTTCGAAGGGCTTTTGATTTTACATAAGTGACATTCATCATGTTGTTGTATGTGTACATATGTAGGTATAAACATACATATATATGCAGGTAAGCTATATACATATACATACAAATGTATGATGCACATATACGTATACATGTGTATAATATGCCTGCTGTTGGTCTACGCTTAGATAGAGTTGAAATTGAATATTTAAATGAAAACAAAAATGAAATTTTACAAAATAGAACACAATGATGGGGAAGTGAAAGTGTTTACCATATTTCGTGCTAACCTCCTCTCTTATAAAAATTTACCACTTTTGAATGAAAAACTTTTGGAAAATTTTCATTATTTTTTAAATGTTCAAATATTAAAAACTCGTGTATTAAATGTATTTTCCAACCTCTGATAAAAGACTTCATCGAGTATATGCCTGCCTTGATTGTTGTATTACAACTTTAGTAAATTTTTAAGAAAGTATCAGAAAGGGAAGAGATTCGCTCACCAATATTTAAATCTGATTCAACAAGATTAGGATTGGCTATGTTTGAATGCTTATTGGAGTCACAGTTTTAGAAAGGTTTCAAGTACATTTTTTAAGTAAAAAGGTTATTGTTTTAAGAAGAGTTGGTGTTTAGAGCAGTGCAAATGCATTATAAAAATTTCATATTTATGCTAAAAACCGCTTAATATATTGATATTAGTCAGTTAGTTAGGCTTGCTCTATCACGGAAACTTGATCTTTTAATGATGCCTATGTTGGTGCTCCGAAAAAGATTCCTCTCATCTTTGCAGATGCTCAAACCAGTTGGTGTGTTTTGCAAAGTTTTGGAGATTAATGATGCCAAGAGATGAAAGCGATGCTAAACAATCGAAGAGGAAACTTTCGAGAAATCGATAACGGATATTATGACTATCCCTATCCGGACAGTTCATCCAATTAGCAGTGTCACATAGGATCAGACACCCCAACCACGAACAAATATTTTAATAGATCCATACGTGTATTCAATATTATAGAATCTGTTTAGAAGATAACCACAGAAATAATTAAAAAGTTTCTCAGTTGAAAATTTTATAAGTTGCAAGATCAAAAATTTCTGGGCAAAGACGTTTAGTGTCGAAAATTTCGAACACCTCATAGAATTTTTGTATCATTCTATCCGATATTTTTCTCTACAGAGACAGCTTCTGACGAATCAAATGTCTCTACTTCATGAACCAGAAGAGTCGGGCGGCCAAGGATGACGGAAATAACGCTCCTGTGCACGTGATATTACCTGGGAATTACTCCTTTGGTCATTTCAGGCGCTATAGCAGCCATAAATTGATGAATGTTAACTTCAAAGTACAAAATACTCGATATTATGCCGTGGCATAAGTCGAGAAACAGACACATTAGGGTCTTCGACTACACTTTCATTTATAGTAGTGCAAGATCTCCAACCGTCCAGAATTTCACACTCGAACCGTTCGCGTTATTTGTATAAGAATTGTCTCTTATTTCACTAATGGGCCACCAATTAATAACTTTAATATAGGATACGCGGTTTAAGCAAAGATGAGACATCCTTAAAAATTGTACTTGCCCTACGCCATTCTACGTGGCAAGAACTTCAGCCAAACTTGTATTTGGTTCGGTAGAACTAGCACAACTTTTTCGACCCACCCTTATAATGTTAACAGCGTGTAACTAAGAGTCAAATAGTTAAAACGGTTATTCACACATATTTATGTGCACACACTTTTATGGTTCCATGAAATATAACACGGCTTTGTTGTGGGTTACCTCATGGTGTGATCATAGCAGCGTGACTGAATAGACAAAGCATAGGAAATAGCTTCTATTGTACATGGAGAATAATTGCAGTCAGTATGTCTACGGCAAATCACGGCGGGGGTCATGAAACTTAGAATTATAAATCCTCTAGTTTTTTATTAAATCCAAATTAACTAGCGTGGTGCAGACGGTAAGTGGAAAGAATATGATTGAATAATAAATAAGTAAGTAATAACAGTTCTTTATCAGCGCGGACGCACCTTACGCTTTTCTCACTGAGTTAACAACAGTGCACCGCTCGCTTCTTCTCTTCGCCGTTTGACGGCAATCAGAGACCGATCCGCGCTCACGTGATCCTTCTAAGGGGCTGCCGTTTCCTCTTCGCCAGCAGGTACTACGTCGAAAAATTAAAACACGAAATTGTGACCATTGCCGTGCCTTAATCACAGATTATTTCTCTCCAAGGTGGTCTTCCATTCTGAACAGGGTGTTGAGGCCTTACAATAGAAGAAAAATCAGTAAAATATTAATCTCCATCTATTCTTATAACAATTTTAAAATACCAATTTTTTTGATCAACCTTTTACATTAAATAATTGAAATAGCCAAATAATTACATTATTAAGAACAAATAAATTCTTGAGTAACTGATTAAAAAGTAAATTGAATATTGCAACCATAGATTTCGTAGATGGCAGGATTCGAATGATTTATTTATGCTGAGCTTATTATCTGTTCTTATCAGGGACTGTAATCACTGTAAGTAAAAACAAAAAAAATCACAATTTACCGACTATTTATCATGGCTGCATTTTAACGATAAATTTCAAGGTAGTGTAAGAAACTCAATCTATTCGGCATGTAATCATTGAATAAGTTATCAAAATAAAATTAATTATTTTTTTCCTGAAACCAAATGTAGCTGCTAATGTTAAAACGCTAACAGATAATGTTTCATATTTAACAGAAAATGTTAAATCGTTAACAGATTATGTTAAGCGCTAAAATTGTATAATATGAGGTTAATAGCATAGGAAGCAACCCTTTTCAAAATTAGCGCCAACGATGAGTTTGTGCGGTTACAGCATTACAAATTTTATTTCCTTTGGATGAAATGTCGTCGAAACGAAACAAAACCATTTCGGTGAGTTTCATTTTCATATAAATAAAACAAAATGTTTGATATTATTAATATATCGTTTAGGAAATATTCACTAATTGTTGAATGTTATTTTTTGCAAAAAAATTATATATTTCCAATATCAAATAAAACCTCCTTCAACATACAACTTTGATCAAATTTAAGAGCACTGAATTTCCATGAAAGCGTAACCTATATTTTATGGCAATGCTTAAGACTGGCAAACACTTTTAAAACCCACTCGTTTGCACACACACACACACACACACACACACGCGCGCACACACTGATAGGATTTCATAGCGAAATTGATTGAAATGACGCCAGCGTCTGCTCAAAAGCAATTTGTCTAATTTTACACCGGCGTATCAGCGTGTTTATGTGCCAACATTATTATTCTCCTGCATATGCAGCACATACGAGTATATCTACATAGCCGTATACACTCGTACTAATGTATATAGGATTGGTGCAGAGAGATAACCGTGTGGCCACTCTAGCCGATCGTTCATCTTCTGGCAATACAGCAGCCACACCCGCCTTTTATTCTAAATATTGTAAGCCTGTGAAAATAAGTACTTTATTATATGTACCCGACTGGTAAATATTTTGCTATAAGTGCAACAAAAATAACAAACAAACAACTGTAAACAGCATGATCTCACTTTGCCCATTTACAAAGATTTTGGTGTTGGATTTTATTTATGCATACTGGTATTTTAATTTTTTTTTCAACTTTTTCCCTCTCAAAATGGTGAATGATATG